TGGGTAAATCGCACAACGAAGAAAAAGAGCAGTGCTTTATTTAACCTGCTGACGGGGCTGTGGGACATTTATCGGGAGTGCGGAAGAGCAGATTTAAATGTGTTGCTTCAGTACGTGTGCAGACAAACATTGATCCATGTGTGCGTTACAACATCACACAAAGACCGAGACAGCCGAGGGAAGCTCCGGGAGAGGCTCGGCTGATAATGACGGTCCTTCGAGAGCCGCACAGCGGACTGCAGAGCCCAGGACGCCGCAGCTGCCAGAAACAGAGACTTTGTTTATCCCCCAGGACCAATTAAGACACAGCAGAGCAGCATGACGCTGAAGATAAGGGCGGGGCATAAACAGGCAACAAGAGTGAGATAATAAATGCACAGAATATACAGTATAGACAGTTTTAAAATTAAAGCGACTGAAAGGTGAATAAAAAACTGATTAAAAGTGAGTACAGGTGTCGGCAGTATGGAAAGAGTGTAGTTTGTTTCTGGGTGTGGGAAATGGTCCAATGGCTGGAGTTAAAAAGCTCCCCCGTAGCTGTGAGCTGCAGTTTGATCGTATATGAACAGATTGTAAACCAGGGGTGGGCAACTGCAGGCCTCGAGGGCCGGTGTCCTGCAGGTTTTAGATCGCACCCTGGGTCAACACACCTGAATCACATGGTTAGTTCATTACCAGGCCTCTGGAGAACTCTAAGAAATGCTGAGGAGTCATTTAGCCCTTTAAATCAGCTGTGATGGATCATGGACACATCTAAAACCTGCAGGACACCGGCCCTCGAGGCCTGCAGTTGCCCACCCCTGATGTAAACCATAACAGTGCACTAATCCACACACTTTCATCCTAATTGGCAGTGACAACTGAAATGACAAAGTTCTGGTAGCTCTTTGCCTGCTTTTATTTAACAGCAGTTTAATGATTGGAGCAAAACGTCTGAGCAGCAGATCAAACAGGTTACAATGATCATTTCAATTATAAATGACTTGAAGTGCACATTGAGGCTGCGAGACACTGAGCCATGGCTCTGTTCTTATTGCACACATCTCTGCCATGCAGGACGGTTTATTTTATATTCAACTGGAGCTTTAGTTTTCTCCCCCTCCCCAAATTGAATTCTGTGTTCATATAAAAACACTTTTAGGGAGATCGTGAGGTTTAAAGCCTGGCTCAGTGACTTTGTCCTCCAAGCTGAAACCTCAGAGTGTCTCCATCCAGCTGCTTATGAACTCTGCAGTCCTGTAACCACTCAAACGCAGCTGTGCTTGTTTAATGACGCGGTCTGTGGGCCTGCACCGCTACACTTCATGTCCTTGACATAATCGTACTATTGCGCCCCCCCGCTACACACCTGTGTACTAATACAGTACAATCAACACTAACCCCCACTGCATGCTCTGTTAGCGAGCAGCAGACTCCAAACAGCACTGAGCTGAGGGACAGGTAATACCAAGACTGTGCTGTAAACCGCTGCTCTGAGTGCGTGTACGTGGCTCTTAAAAGAGCCGTTGTGTTTGGTGTAAACTGGTCTCAGATCAGCTTAAGCCCTCTCTCCGCGGATGCGACGGGCCAGTTGGATGTCTTTGGGCATGATGGTGACCCTCTTGGCGTGGATGGCGCACAGGTTGGTGTCCTCGAACAGACCGACCAGGTAAGCCTCGCTAGCTTCCTGCAGAGCCATGACGGCGGAGCTCTGGAAGCGCAGGTCTGTCTTAAAGTCCTGAGCGATCTCCCTGACCAGGCGCTGGAAGGGCAGCTTACGGATCAGCAGCTCGGTGGATTTCTGGTAGCGGCGGATCTCCCTGAGAGCAACAGTCCCGGGCCTATAACGGTGGGGCTTCTTCACGCCTCCGGTAGCCGGGGCGCTTTTACGGGCAGCCTTGGTGGCGAGCTGCTTCCTGGGAGCTTTTCCTCCGGTGGATTTACGGGCAGTCTGCTTGGTCCTGGCCATCTTACAGCTTCGGGCTCCTCTGCGTGAACAGCGAAAGAGAGAATGAAGTCTGAGCGCGAGCAGCGGCTTTATACTGGGGCTGCAGGCGGGAGCTCAGCGCTGATTGGTCCAGATCTGGTAGCGCGCGCACCGCAGCTGCTCAGCTATTGGACGAAAATGTTCAAAATGAAGCGCGAGACCGAGAGAACAGAACTTTATTGTTATTCAGATGTACAGTGAGACGGCGCCGCCTACTACTGCACACATGCGGGGTGCACAGCTTCAGCAGCATGTACACATATGAACAGTATTCAAAAAGATACGATGTGCGAACAAATCGGGAAAAAATAAAAATACATTAGTGTTACATACATGTAGAGTGTGGGTTACTGCACAGTGCTTATAGATGTGAAGTCTACAGAGGTCTTTGAGATGGGTGGGGGGCTAATTCAAATTTAACTCTAAACAACAGCAGGTAATAAACCAGTAAACCAAGAAAACAAAGCCATCCACAGCTTCAGTGCACTCAGCTCCTGTCATCAGCACCAGAATAAACTGGAAATATTCGCAGCACTGACTGGGAAATAATTCAGGTTTCAAAGTATCATTGAATCACTGCCTAGTCAATTATCAGATTCTATTTATTGACATAAGACTGAAAGTCATGTTTCTTATTTTCTGACAATTCAACATGCATTTCCCCCTTCAGTGAGCTTAACTGGGAGACCAGTATTTTCTACCTGAACCGGCTCAGTCTCCATAATTTACTCTGCATGTGGAGGCACAGGTGAGCATGAAGCGTAAAGCTGAGTGTGCAGCCTGTGTGTCCCCGGCATAGTTTCTCACACACACACACACACACACACACAGAATGAGGAGCTCGTAGCGGAGGCTGTGGTGGCTCTGAAAAGAGCCTTTGATGCACTCTGTGCGGGAGGAGCTTTTACTTCTTGGCCTTCTTTGGCGCAGTTTTCTTTGCGGGCTTCTTGGCGGTCTTGGGCTTTTTCAGGGCGGCCTTCTTAGCGGGGGACTTGGGCTTCTTGGCTGCCGCTTTGGGCTTCTTGGGAGCAGCCTTCTTGGGGCTCTTCTTCACCACTTTCTTCGCAGCCTTCTTAGCCGGAGATTTCTTCGGGGTGGCCACTTTCTTCACCGCGGGCTTCTTGGCTTTGGCGGGAGCCTTCTTCGCGGGTTTGACAGCCTTCTTCTTCGCTGGTTTCGCGACTTTCGGTTCTTTCTTAGCAAGCTTGAAGGAACCGGAAGCCCCGGTGCCCTTCACCTGACTGAGAAGGCCTTTCTCCACCAGCTTGGCGACGGCGGTGTTGATACGTTTGTTGGCCTTGGGTACGTCCACATTTTTGGCGGTCAGGTATTTCTTTATGGCCGCCAGCGACGTCCCCTTGCGCTCCTTCGACTCTGTCACCGAGGCGACGATGAGCTTAGGGAGGCTGGGTCCGTCCTTCTTAGCCCGGGGAGCGGACTTCTTCTTGGGAGCCTTGGCCGGGGCTTTCGCCGGTGCAGCTGCGGGAGCTTCTTCTGCCATGTCTGCGCGTGAGCTTCGTACTGAGCATGTCGGAGCTTCGCGCGGGAGGCGGGACTTATCAAGCACATGAGAACCATGGAGAGTGAAGCCAGCCCTCCGCTCTGCTGCCGCTACAATCGCGGCTCTTCTTGTGTTTTCTTCGCCGCGTTTCGGAGCTCAAACCGGCCCCTGATAAACGTT